GAGGTGGCCGCACCTTTGTACGACGCGGTTTCAATTGTGCCATGTCTCGAAGCATTGTGATTTATTGACATTCCGAAAAGGTCTATTTCCTCAATAGAGGATAAGGGACCATGAATGTTGGAAAAGGTACATTTTAGACGGATTAGGTGACACCCATGTGGGGAACACTCGAAGACTCACTGCGCTCGATCGTGAAAACTCGTGAAAGATATTCCTGCTGTCTCCTGCCTAAACTTATTATAAGTTCAGAGCGTATGGCGTTCTATAAGTCATTGTGCCTAGTTATGCAGTACTCCTCAAGACACAGTGAAGAGGAGTGTAGAAGAATGGGATTACTCCTGAGCACTTGCCAGAGGTCATTCTGAACATGAAGCAATTCTCCAGGTCCGAAACGCTTTCCCTTTTAATATTTTCAAAGGCGATCTAGAGAAATGAGCCTCGGTTTGGTAGTCGACGCATGATCCCCAATACCATGCAAAGGCCCGTTCTGAAAAATAACCCTTTGACTTACTGGAGGACCTCCTTGCTTAGATAGATGGACAGAAAGACCGAAGGGGTAGCCCCGTGAAGAACTAATTGCTTGAGAAAACTCTCAAACGGATACCGCAGAGTAGATACCTTCCGTCCCTCAACCATAATCATGGTGTTGTGTGCATGATTGCGTAAGTGGTTATTCAGGTTGCGTCACTGGCAACAATGAACAAATTTTACCTCCGATAAACTACGGCAAAACCTAAGTTTTGGATTTCTGCAGGACGGCGGTGCCTTCCTGAAGTTTCATTCCGAAGGTGGTAAAAGCGATTGGAGGGAAGAACTCCATTTAGGAATCGAAAACGTTTCGGATTCCGTTCACCCAACGAAAAAGTCGATGAGTCCCGTTCTTTCCCACCCAAGTAGACGGAACTGCTCGGACGGTTTTTGAGTGGAAATAGCCTTCGAGCAACTGCCCTACACTTTTTCATTAAACTATTTACTTGAACAGAATTCGCTTCCCATAAGGGGTTTGACATCAATGTAGTCGCCAAGCTACAAATTGCAAAGATAATATGGTTAGTACGGATCACCCTACCAAAGGGATCTGCAAAGGAATTTTTTGTGTACATTCCAGTTCTTCGAAACTGAATTATATTTCTTCAAGATCTCTCCTTACCGGATCTGTGGTGGTGCAGAGA